AATCAGGACATTTCCAGATGAACAGAAATTAAGAGACTATGTAAAAACCAAACCAAACTTACAGGAATTATTAAACAGAGTCCTTCGATTTGAGAACTAACAACATTAGACTACCGCAAGAATCTAGGACACAAGATTGTACTGGCCAGATACCAACCTAGAAAATGAACTCTTAAGGACTATTCAAAACCAAAAGATTTACAACATAGAATCAATAAAACAGGGAATAAATGGTGTAGGTACAGAACTTTCTAATGGAGAGGAAGGCAAGGCGATACCAAATAATAATAGACTGGTTCAAACCTAGGAAGATAAGGGTAAATTTCAAGGTAACCACAAAGAAAGTTAACAAACTTACTCATCAGAATAAAGAAGAAAAACAAAATCTACAAAAACAAAAGAAATGAAAAAAAATCCACAAACAAAAGGAATTCAGCACAGGAGAGTAAGAAGAACAAAGAAAACATCAGCATCACAGAAAAACAGCACTACAAAATGACAGCAATAAACTAACACCTATCAATAATCACACTGAACATAAATGGCTTAAACGTACCCATAAAGAGACAGAGAGTGACAGACTGGATAAAAAAACTGAATCCATCAACACGCTGTCTGAAAAAGATACATCTTAGAAACAAAGATGTAAATTTATTAAAAATCAAAGGATGGAAAAATGTATCAAGCAAACAGCTACCAAAAAAGAGCTGGAGTGGCAATACTAATCTCAGATAAAACAGACTTTAAAATAAAATCCACCATAAAAGACAAAGAAGGGCACTATATCATGATTAAAGGGATGATTCATCATGAAGACATAACTATAATAAACATCCACGTACCCAATGACAGTGCTCCAAAATACATAGAACAAACTCTAACAGCACTGGAAAGAAAATTGACAGTTCCACAATAATAGTAGGAGACTTCAACACACCACTCTTGGTAAAGGACAGAACATCTAGAAAGAAACTCAACAAAGATACAGAAGACCTAAAGGGCACAATCAGCCAACTTGACCTCACAGACATATATAGAACACTCCAGCCAACTGCTGCAAAGTGCATATTCTTTTCCAACGTACATGGAACATTCTCTAGAATAGATGACATCTTAGGCCACAGAGCAACCCTCAACAAAATCCAAAACACTGAGATAATACAAAGTATCTTCTCTGACAACCAATCAAGGTAGAAATTAACAACAGGAAGACCAAGGGAAAAAACAAAACAAAACAATTACATGGAAACTGAATAACACCCTGCTTAAAAACCACTGGGTTACAGAAGAAATCAGAGATGGAATCAAAAAATTTCTAGA